TTTAATTTTTATTTTTTTTTTTTTTTTTTTTTTTTTTTTTTTAAACTGAAGTTTGATTTTTGATCAAATAAATGCTGTCTTGGTGAGACTTCTTTAAAAAAAAAAAAAGATATATAGTTATATAGTTCAGGTAGACTACTAAGTTTTCAGGTTTTCATGGTCATGTTTTGGCCTGAGAATGAACTATATGATTCAAACCACACCTTAATGATGGATGAGGCATTCAAATTTCCTATTAATGTTTAAACTATGATTCTGTGTGTTTTGATGTTTGATCACATGTACTTATAAACCAAATCGTGGAACTGTGTAAATCCTAAATGTGTCAACATTCATCTAAACCAATAACCAGAGCCCTTGCAATTGGTTTGCATTATTTTATCTATAATATATTGCTGCCCTAAGAAATAACAGCGGAAATGATGTTGTTCGTGTGCGTAAGAGACTGTGACGCAACCACGCCATTACGCTTGGGTCACTTCCTTCCCCTTTCATGCTTATCGCGGTTGCACACTTAACAACAAGTGACTCTTGAACCTCAAGAACGTGAAGATCTTCTTCCTTTTTTTGCTGACTTACTGTTAAATTCAGACAGTGGCTATTAAAATTATAAAAATGAAGAACTGAAAGATACTGACAAAACAAAATGCAATCCCAAAAGGCTGAATAAAATGTTAAGCATTGCATTTATAAAGGAAAAGCTCAAAACTACCGCTTTGTATCTCTAACAGCAGACACAGCCAGTCAGGGAGATATTGGCCCTGACGTGAAATCACGTAGTATGTAATAATTCCCTGTCTATTAATACAATTGGCAGATCCCAGAGAGAGGCAGAGACAGAAATAGCAGGTGCGCTGCCTTCACCATCAGCATCAACAGCAGTAAAATTAGCACACGGTGACGCCGACCTGCGTCGATGCAGCAGCGCAGGGGAGGAAACAGACAGGCAACGTATGCTGGAGAGCAGAGGAAAAAAAGCTGGAGAAAAGGGAAAAAAAAGGCAGAGAGAATCCAGGCTAAAGATAGACCATAATGCACTGCTCCCTCACTGATAGAGACACACAGTTGGATAGCCGCCATTTTCTACATCATCTGGTGGATAATTACCAAACTAAGGCACGAGAAGAGTGACTGATTATTTAGATGAAAACACATTTATAAAAGCTAATATAGGGTTACTACTGGATATTGATAGTAGGCAGATGTCACATTAATTTTACACGGACAACCAAAGGCAGTAATAAATATGAGCAGCTGTCTGTATATAATCACATGACGCCACACATGATCTAAAGTTCACAAAGATTTCAATGTAAAAAAAAAAAAAAATCCTTTAATTTTTACAGAAAAAAGACCTGAATATGCCAGAAAATACAGTAAAAAGAAATCAAATTTGAAAAATTTGTGTTTCAGTTTGAAATTGTAATTTACAAAAATAATTACATTTTAAACCAGTAAATCAAGGCCCCACTGCTAATAAAAATCTGTTTCAACATGTACTGACAACCACCATAATAACAAAAGAGAAAGCACAATGAAAAACTAAAGTTCCACAAGCTGAGGTAAATCAAAAATTGTATTTTTAATTTACACAAATCATTTAATTCAGATTGGGACTTCGGAGCGTATATCGTGAATCATTTGATTCAGATCGGAACAAAGCGGGTTTTTTGAATCTTTTGATTTAGATCGGGACTTTGTACTATGTGACATCATGGCTCAACTTCAATTTTGTGAAGCTACAAGAATACTTTTTGTGCGCAAAGAAAACAAAAATAACATCATTTATTCAACAATTCTTCTCCCCGAGTTACCGTCTTCCACCATTTTGGAGAGTACCACGGCGCATCCGCGCGCTTTCCCCAGAACGTAATCAACGTAATCAGCGTTGTTTACGTTCAGCATGCGCATGTTTTCTCCAGAACGTAAACAACGCTGATTATGTTGATTTATTCTCGCAGCTTCGCAAAATTGAAGTTGAGCCACTGATGTCACATGGACTGTTTTACCGATGTCCTTGCTACGTTTCTGGGACTGGGAACACTGCAGTTGCACAGGGCCGTCACTAGGAATTCTGGGCCCTGTGCACTGAATTTGCTGTGAGGCCCCCTCAAATCACGTTCAGGGCCCCTGTTACTCTGTTCCACTATTACCCCCTGTCCGACGCCCCTGCAGTTGCATTGCTTTCCATGGGAGGGTCAAAGAGCTCTCAGATTTAATCACAAATATCTTAATTTGTGTTCCGAAGAGGAACAAATGTCTTACGGGTTTGGAACGACATGAGGGTGAGTAATTAATGACAGAATATTCATTTTTGGGTGAACTAACCCTTTAAAGCACTGTATTAAAGTAATCTCCAAAACCAAAACAGGTCTGACTTCTTATTTGGTCTGATCCTGACCAAATCTCCTCAAAGTTGACTGAGCAGGTTGATAATATGGCGAAACCTCTCACAAGGAGACCAAAAATATAGTACAAAATAATATGAAAATATAAATATGTCATATTTTTGAAGTATTTACTTGTACCTTGATGAGGGCACTTTTCTAACCAGAATACACCTATTTATTCATATACATCAACTGAATTCATTAATGGGAAGGAAATTAAATGTAAAAATCTATGGCTGTTACCTATTAAATAAATAAATAAATACAAAAGCAGTAGTTAATAATGTACGGCTTCAATATCATAGCACTTAAAAATAAAATCTTCAGTCACAGTGCATGTTTTCAACGTTGATTATTTGAGTCTTTTCCCATTAAAAAACACTTAATTCAACATTCAAAAACTCACAGCTACAAGCCACTACAGTATCTGCTAAGGCTTTAAATACATCCGAATATTTACCTTAATTAGAATAGAATAGAATAGGTGTTAAAAATATACACAAAAACGAACTTTACGGGAGCATTATTTTGCCCCCACAAACTGAATACATGTTGCATTTAATCACTTAATAGGATTATTTTGCCCTAAGTCATGGTAAATTTCGGACCTTGCTTCAGAATGCATAAAATGTCTCAAAAAGTAAAAGAATAAAACATTTTTGTACATGTGGGAGGTCTGCGCCACTCCCTGCGTCTCCACGAGCAGGCGCTCTAGAGAACCGCAGAGACAGTGCGCAATCTGCGCATGCGCGGAGTCAGAGCGCAGGCGCACTGCGCAGCTCGATCCAGGCCTGCAGTAGTGGAGCGATCAGCTCGTCATGGCGCGGTTTCGTGTGCTCTCGCTCTCGCTCTCACTGTTGTTTGTGGTTCAATCGGTCGTGTCGATCTCATTCTACCTGCCGGTGCGCAGCAGAAAGTGTCTACGGGAGGAGATCCATAAAGACGTGCTCGTTACCGGAGAATACGAGATCATCGAGCAGCCAAACACGAAAACCAACCTGAAGGTGACGTCACGCCACGCATCTACCGGATTAACGATTTAAATATCCGCACAAACAGTCGTTACAGTTGTATTCAACAGTTACTTCACGTTTTATTAGAGTTTTTAGTTAATTCGTGATGACTGTAGCGGTTCGGTGAGTTTAAACACAAGGCCTTATGTTAGTGCTACATGGCGCTTCCTGGTTGGACGGTGATTTAATGATTCATTATACTTCGTTTTTAATAACATTCAGCTGGTTAAATAAATCAAATGAGTTATGTAAATGACCCTATGCCGTTATTTAGAAACACAAAGCGTGTGTGAGTGTAGTTTGTGTTTTTCCCCGTGTCTCATTCACTCGAGTTGTAACACGTCAGTCTTACTTCCACACTCGCATACAGAGAAGGTGTATATGGATTAACATAATTAAACGTTACTAATCAGTGTTGCATAAATTATGAATTGAATTATAATCTTTTTGGCCTTCCTTGTAATAAACATAGCTGTTTGGCATGTTTGTCTGTTAGGCTTTAACTGAATATCCAATGTCGTGACCCTTGTTAGATCACAGACTCCTCTGGACACATCCTTTATGTGAAAGAAGATGCAACCAAAGGCAAGTTTGCCTTCACCACAGAGGACTATGACATGTTTGAGGTGTGCTTCGAGAGCAAGTCACCTATGGGTGAGTGTCTGACACATCTGCAGACTTTCTGATAGCACCTTTGCTGACATATGTTCAGCTAAAGGTGATATTATGATGGTATGACGATACAAATCGATTCTAAATCAGCACCGATATACTTAATGAATTGTGAATTTGTTCATTTGATTTGTACTTTTTTCTTCCATTTAGGAACTGGAAGAGTTCCTGACCAACAGATCAACTTGGACATGAAGCATGGTGTTGAGGCCAAAAATTATGAAGAGGTTTGTTTGCATTGATTTCTCATGCTCAGCAGTTTTCAAAAGTTTGGGGTCAGTTTATTATATGCTCACCAAGGCTGCATTCACTCCATGTGCTGTCTGATCGGTCTGGCCACGTGGCAGGTCTTCTACCTGCGCCGCTTCTTCAAGGCCAAGAAGCTCATTGAGTAAAATCTGCCTGTAAATTCAGGGACCCAGAACTTCTTCCTGACATCAGAACCTCCGGCCCCTGACATTTTGCTTTGCCTCGGCGATTTATTCCAGTCGCTGCGGGTGACCTGAAGTTTATCGGGAGTGGACGTGTATCAGGGAATCCTCTGGGAAGCGATTGATGCTTGGCGGCCAAATTGTCTTTCAGCACGTGTACATTTTTGATACAAGCTTGTTCAGTATAATTTGGAAAAAAAACACCCAGTTTTGCAGTTTTTTTTTTTTGCTTTATTTTCTTGTATTTATACTAAATGACAGCACAAGCCCCTATAACTGATAAAAGATACGCTCCTGTGAGAGAAACTTTGTGGTCGTTGAATGTGTGTGTGTGTGTGTTAATTACTGTAATCTGTTCCGCCTGTTATTTGGAAGGATAGAATGATTGTTTCACATGAACAGATTGTAGACTGATGTGTTTAGCTGTCTATATTATTTCTTTAAAGACTTATGTTTGGTAACGCAAAGCCATTTTATCAAAATGAAGTCCCACTCACTGCAAGTGAAGAGAGAGCGATCGCACATCAGAGCTTCAAGCTGTCATATATCATTCTGACTTTGAGAAATGTACTAATTTTAAGCAGTTTTATTTTGTGGGGCAGCATCTCTTTTTAGTTTACTTATTATGGGAAAGAGTGAGTTCATCTGTGATTAGTTGTTAGTTTCTCCACAGACTGAATAAATGTTCAATCCAACAGAACTCCTGCAGTGGGCCTGAGGTTAAAGGTGCATAAATGCCATCGCTGCTCCATCAATTCTGGTTTGATTTGTTACAGGATCTACCCGTATTAGACTTTGATTTTTAATTTTCTCTTCTTTTCAAATGCTTTTATGGAATAGTGGTTACACATGTCCTGGGTGGAAGGTTTGCATCAGATTAAATATTATTATTTGCTGCCAGTGGTTTTATTTTTTTGCTCCAGTGTTCAATCATTTTCAACGGCAATGTTTTTGATTCTAATTAATTTTGGTGAAAGTGGATTTCGGAAATATAATTGGCTTGTCATTCAATAAAAATTGTAAGTAAAGTATTTTGAGTGTTTGTGAGTTGTTAACAAAATAAATTTGTTACAGCAACAAAGCAGAGTGATTTAGTCATTATAATCAAAGAGAATCTGAAAATCATAAATTATAACAAGACAGAAAATATTTCAAGTTTGCATAATATTCTAAAAGGCTACTCAGTGGATAAATAAGTGAAAAAACATTTATGTTTACATGCAGCAAGTTATTTTAATTAATATAAGGAGGAATAACATTGTAAAAAAAAAGCACCTAAAATGATTTCTGAAGGATCATGTGACACTGAGGACTGGAGTAATGATGCTGAAAATTCAACTTCGCATCACAGGAATAAGTTGCATTTTAAAATATATTGAAATAGAAATCAGTTATTTTAAATTGTTATAATATTTCAAAATATTACTTTTTTTACTGTATTTTTGACAGCGAGCGTGAGTATAAGAGAGGACTTCTTTCTGAATCATTAAAAAATCTTACCAACCATGAACTGTAGTATAGCATTCATTAACCAGCATGTTTTATATAGCCATAGCAGCAGCGCATATATTAAAATGTTGCATAATATACAGTGCATTATGCAAAATATTTTAATAGGCTACTTCGTGGGTTTTACATGCAGCAATTTGTTTTGTATAATCTATTCAATAGCATTACAGAAAAGACTTGAGCGAGTGTTGATATGGGTGGACGGTTGGTGGGGCTGTTACAACACAGTCCCGATCGCCGATAAATAACAGAAGAAGAGCAGGATTCATGAACCGGAGGAGGTTTCTGTCTGGTTCCGCGAGTGTTCAAGCTTTCAGGAGACACTAGCTCGGAATCAGCGCTTTACTGAGACACCAGTCAAAATGCCCGGCGCGGATAAAGAGACGGACCTGTCCGAGCGCATCGAGTCGTTTCTGTCCGAGCTGAAGCGCTGCGGCAGAGGGGCAGGATCCCTCCGGGACTCCGCGGAAACTGCGCGAGAAACGACCGCTTTACTCCGCAGAATCACCGCGCAGGCCCGCTGGGGCAACGCCGGTGAGTAAGCACTCGAGATCGGATCAAAACCCGAGCGCTGTCCGCTGGTCAGTCTTGCTCGATACACGACTTTACTTACATCATTCTCTGCCTGACTGTTTCGTGGTGCATGTGCCTGTGGTTTACAGCAGAGCTTTTCAGTCTTTAATATTTCATATTCCTGAGGGACCCCATTCTAAATTTTAAATGTGGTTATATATTTGCTTGTAAAAAGATCCAGTTTATGCTGTGAAAAAATAATGTCATAAATATGTAAAATATTATTCTAGGTAAAATAAAATATTCTAGTCACATTTTTTTCATTAGTTACATTTTTACTTACTGTAGTGTACTGTTATTTATATATATATATGAAAAGGGGGCGGGGAGCAGCAGCTCATCTGCATTTAAAGAGACAGGAACGAAAAACAGCGTGTTTCTGCTTCCACTCAAAATAGGCATTTTCAAAATGTTATAATGAATGATCTGTGGGGTATTTTGAGCTGAAACTTCACAGACACATTCTGGGGACACCAGAGACTTGTATTACATATTGTAAAAAGGGGCATAATATGTCTCATTTAATATAATTTTCATTATTTTATTCTAAATATTTTAATACCATATTATTTTAATCTACATTTTATTTGTTTTTATTATTTTAATTATTTTAATCTATTTTCAGGATTTATTAATGTATTTATTTTAATCAAATTTTCATTGCGCATATATATATAAAAAAGTTTGAAACCCTCTGGTTTACAGGATCTTGAAGTCTCTGGTGTGTTTTTTTCAGGTGAGCTGATGGAAATCATACGGAAGGAGGGCAGGCGGATGACGGCAGCACAGCCGTCTGAGACCACCGTTGGTAACATGGTCCGCAGGGTGCTGAAGATCATCCGAGAAGAATATGCCAGGTATCTGAAATCGAACTTATAACGTCATTCCCTCTTCCCTAACACTAATATACAAAACCTGAAGGAGCGAATAAAAACTGTATTTATTAGTATGTATTATATTTGGTACACCAGCTAATATTTTCTTTAAATATCACTCAAAGGAACAAACATGGTAGCCAATCAAATTTCAGCATTTTCTCAGTGTGAATGACAGATAAGGTCTGCAATACTAATGTTGTCCACTAGATGGAGGCACTGGATAAACTTGTCAGATTATTTCCCGATTTCCTTTTTTGAAATCGGTGGTCTCTTTTGGAACTATCACTATTTTTGTATTTTTGTAAGCGGTTTCATCAAAACCTACATCACATTATCAGTGGAGATTCCGGACTGTTGCCTTTGTAGTACAAACATGTAATATCTGCAAAGATACATGGCGGCTGTATGTATCACCTATTTGTCTACTTGAGCTATTGGTGCTTGTTCCCCGATTCTGGCCGCTTGGCTACATTTATTTTTTATAAAAATCGTGGGGACGGATTTCCCGGGAAACTACATACTCACACATAACAACTGAACTGAAAAGAGCTGGCAAGCAAAAAGGGAAAGCGACATTACCCATAATAAAACTCGGATCAACATAGTTTGCATAAGCATCATATCTGCTGTTTACAAAACAATGTTTCTGTTGGTTTACCATGATATCTCTAAACCATTTACTACTTGGGCCTATTTGCCTAGAAATAGTCTTTCCAAGTTATAATTTCCATCGTTATGTGATATAAATAGCAATAGATATTTTTAACGTCTGCGTTGGCAATCTTTTGTAATGTTATTTTAAAACAACTTATTTTAACAAGTCAAAACAACAGCGGCATATAAGCTGCTTACCTGCTTATAAGACATGTATTGGATATCCACATCTTTCTTTCATTATTGGTCAAGTTTTGATGTTATTAGTGACATTTGCTCTGATAAAGCGATCACTTGTTATCATGAGCCCAGCGCGCGCCTCAAGCCATCCGATTCCTCCGCGCAGAATATCGGAGCCAAAGCACAACTCGCGTAACGACCAAAACAATGTTCCTCCGCAGATAACGTGCAGTTTTATGCTTCAACCGCTAGAGGGCCAAAAGTTAAATCGTTAAGCTTTAAGGTTAAAAAAAGAAGAATATCAACATACTGGTTTTGGAACATGATGGTGAGTAAATAATAACAGAATTAACATTTTTAGATGAACAATCTGAATCTCTCCTCAGGTCCAGAGGCAGCAGTGAAGAGACGGATCAACAGGAATCTCTGCACAAGCTGCTGACGTCTGGAGGCTCCAGCGAAGACAACTTCAGACAGCACTTCGCTCATCTCAAAGCCAACGTCATTGAAGCCATCAACGAACTGCTGACAGAACTGGGTGAGAATCCAGAGATGCCTTCATCCAGCATACTGATCATCAGATGCCACAAAGAGCCTGAGAGATTTAGTCTTTTATATATTCTTGTAAATGTGATTTTTAGAGGGCACCACAGACAACATCTCCATGCAGGCGCTGGAACACATTCACTCTAATGAAGTCATCATGACCATCGGCCGCTCCAGAACAGTGGAAGCTTTCCTGAAAGACGCGGCTCGGAAACGCAAATTTCACGTCATCGTTGCAGAGTGTGCGCCCTTCTGTCAAGTGAGTACATATTTGCTTCCATTATATTTTACTAAAGCGGCTCTCGAAAACACATCTCATTACTGGCAAATAATAAAACGGACAGCCAAAAATGAATAACACTGTCATGTTTAAGCATGTAGTGACACAACGGCATGTTTAACCATTATGTACTATTACTGAAATTATGATAACATTATAATTATTCATTTTTTAAATAATAATAGTATTTTAACATTATTAATCATCATTTAAGAAATACATAATGATTCATAATAAAAAAATTAATAATAAATTCTAATTATTTAACATTACTATATTGTATTTAATAATATTTAAAAATTGTACTGTTGTTATAAAAAATAAAATTGATCAACATTTCATTC